CCTATATGAAACAGAAAATGGAGCAATATTCTTTTGAAATTCTCATATATCCCCCCTGGCTGTGGTTGTTAGGGGGAAAGCAGAAAATAACAATAGAGAAGAGAGAATTTTGAGCAATGAAAGAAAGTTTTACAAGTGGTCACATCCAAATTCAGTTTAGTCTGTAGCAGTTCTCACCACAGTCATCAAGGGCGCCTACCTGCAGAAAATGTTTAAAAGATGAGGTTCCAGTTTTTGGCTACTTGCATCATTTTAGCCTTTCCTTCATTACACTGATTCTTTTTTTTCCTTTTATTTTCTCTTTTCTTTTCTTTTTTTTTTTTTGGTACAGTAAATAGGAGTATATTACTTAGAAAATTTGGGTCATAGTATGTTTAATTGCTGTTATTCAAACTTGCAACCCTTCAGTCCATGGGCCAATGCTCTAACCACTGAGCAACCAGCCAGCGCTCCACCTGCATTTCATGTAAAATATGTAACCCCATATGAAACAGAAAATGGAGCAATATTCTTTTGAAATTGCAAATTTCAAGAGCAAATAAGACCATGGAAAAGAAGATAATTTTAAACAAAGTTAAATAGTATTTTGACTACAGGATTATACTGAGCCTTAATTGTGCTCTTGTAAATTAAGACTGTCCAAACAAGTCATGTATATATATATATATACCATATACAGTCTAACATTTATTTGTCTATCTATTCTAACTATATTTTCCCATTAGCTCTTTTTACCAAAAGCATCTTATGGGAGTCATGCTTTATAGGAAAGCAGTGTGAAATGCTAATTTAGAGTGATAAGTCAATACAATCTATATAGTACGTATATGGTTTAGTCTGGGTGCTTCAGGCTAAGGGTCTCACCTTTAAGAACTGAGAGTTCCCTGGAATATATGATGTCAGCTCTCTTCTTAGTCTAACATCTTTATACGCACTAGTTTGAATAGCAGGATGTCAATGTGGAACGCATTCATCAGGGAGCCACCATAGAAACAGGTCAAAGAAATTAGGGGACTGTTGGAGTATCATTAAGGAGAGATACCTGAATCAGGCCGACTTACCCAGCAATTATGTTCAATAATGTGAGGCTCCGGTAGGGCAGAGCCGGTATACACACCCCTGGAAAGCACAGGCAAACACAGATCTGGTGAGAAGTGCCCAAAGAAAGGCTGTTGGGTTAGGACTTGCCACTCCTACAGAATGGACCACGCAGACTCCTCTTGTCTGGGTGTGTCACCCTACCATAGCCAGGTCCATTACACAGAAGAATGAAGCTAAGGCAGCCAAATGAGCCCTCTGCCATGGCTGCAAAACAACCTGTCACGATTAGTACATTCTTGTGACATCTCTTGGAACTAGACCCAAGCAGCACAGCGCTAGCCACCTCGTTCTCCTCCCCTCCGCCATCATACACCCTGCAGGCTCTCATGTTTGTCTGTTTCAGAGGAGAGCTGAATCTGCTCTGAGGCAGGGGTTCCAAGTTCACTGGCCATTGGCTGTAACTCAGAGGCTTCAAATGCCCATTATTCAGCAGAATTTGGAACATCTAAATTGTAAATGTTTTCAAAGAAAAGGAGAATTTTCAAAAATAAGGTGCAGTCCTGAATTGAGGACGTAAGCAACTCAGAGCTTCCTGTCAGAGAGGACCAATGAAGTAGGGTGAAATGAAACCAGGCACAAAAGATGTGATAGAAAATGGTGAGTCAACTTGCAAGGGTCTTTAAGATTAAATGATGGACTCATTCACTAGTTCACCCCTCTATTTATTTGACAGACAATTATGGGAACCTCCATCCTAGATGTCAGAGAACCAGAAATGAAAATGGAGTAGTTTCTCTTCTCATGGAATCATATCAAGCTAGCTGTTTTTCACACTTTGGAATGCATATGAATCACTTCACGTAATAATTTAAAATGCCAAGGTTGGGGTCCTGTGGGTGGCAACCACTCGATGTGTCTCTCTCACTTCAATGTGTCTCTCTCTCTCTTCCTCCCTTTCTCCCTCCCACTCTATCTGAAGATAAATGCAAAAATGTCCTCGGGTGAGGATTAAAAAAAAAAAAGCCGATCCCTGGCTACACTCTCATAAGAGTCTTATTTGGTTTGGCTGGGGTGGGTTCTAAGGATCTTCATTGATTTTTATGGTGATTATGATGCCTGTGATCTGTGGTCATCGGTGAATATAACCAGGCACATAACAGAATGGACTAAGTGGATAAGAGCTTAGAAACATTTCCTTTAGAGTCAGGCAACCTGAGTTCAGACTCAGGCTCCATCACAACCTGTTTCACCTCAGGCAAGCGACTTGACCTCTTTAATACCCAGTTTCATTTGAAATAAAATGGGAATAGTATTTCTCATCCCTTGGGATTGTTTTGAGAATACAATGAGATAATGTATGTATGACACATTACTTGGCACATAATAATGCTCAATACATAGTTGTAGTAGTAATAATTATTGCTATTGATGGTGTTATTGTTATCATCACAATTAGTTAATCTTAACAAAGGAAAGAAAGCAAAGGGGAGGCCAGACATTATAAGCATGGTCATCTGGTTGTTTCACCAAGAAGCTACAGCTTCACACCCCAGGGAATTACCTCCCAGGGCATTAACACTCCTTTGGTCCCCCATCTGTTACTGGATTGTTGAGGGGAGATAGACATATGCGCAGTGAAATCGGGGTGATTCAGGGAAGGTGCTTGCCTCTCAATCTAGCCTGGGGAATAATGGATTGGCTCAGGGATGAACCCCATCAGAAGCTTGTGAAATCCTGGAAAGTGAAAATCCCCAGACACCGAGTCCCCTCCCTCATGTGCTCTTGTTCGGCTTGCTCTGGCATGCTCTGTGACCCACACTCACCCATGTGGGCTCACCTGTGCCCTCTCCATAGCCATAAGAACTTAAGCAGCCGCGTGGCCATCATGGCTGTGGGGACCCCACACACAATGGACTGCAGCTGGGAACACAAGCTAAGCTAGCCAGGTGCTGGACTGGACTGGACTTTAACATGGAGCAGAAATTCTGGGCAGTGGCCTTAATTCTTGCACTGCTGAAGGCAAGCTTTGACTTCTTCCATTGTGGGACAGACAGAGATGGGACCCTGGAGGGAAACCCTTTAATTTTACATCATCTATAAAGCTTTCCTCAAAACACCATCTTCCCGTGGGGGCCTCAGGAATTTTTTTTCCTTGCTGTACCCCAAGAAGTCCACTTCCACCACTAACATTATCACTGGTGTAGTGATTCACCAGAATTAAGCTATATTAATCAATATTAGTTACCTATAAATATATTAATATAAAACTACATACTACATGATCCATACATTATTAATCCTATTAATTATACTATAGATTAACTATATTAACACATGTGGTCAACAGAGATTATGACTTTGGCAAATCTAAGAGAAGAATTCGTGGGATTTTCTATCACAGAGCAGTGAAGGTATACATTTTCCACAGAGTGAGATTTACCATCTCTCTTATATGTTAATTTGATATAAAACTCCTATTCACAATGTAGAATTGGAGCAATAAGACTAAGACAAAGACAGAAGTAGGGGAAGTGGTGTTGAAGCCACAGAGAAAAAGGAGAAGTAATTTCTGCTTTATGTAGCCCCATAATACATACACTATATATATGTAGTGTGCCTGGCACGGGCGTATGCATAGTCTGGTGGGAAGGGCATATGCTTCGGAGCTAAATTTACTTTGGCCTAAATTTTGCCATTATCTTTTCCTAGAAGAAAACAGTAGATTAGCAGATAGAGTGTTTTCTAACATAATTTGAAGATCTTTATTTTGTAATGATAGTAATAAATAAGAGGTCTCCTGCAAAATCTCTCCCTCTGTTGTTTTTGCAGTTGTTGCTTATTTGCTGTTGTTAAACGTAAGCAGTTTCAAAGCCAAATAGGAAATGTATGTCATTTTTTTTTAATGTTCTTTTTCTTTATTGATTTTAGAGAGAGAGGAAGGGAGAGGGAGAGAGCGATGAAAGAGAACATCGATTGGCTGCCTCCTGCATGTCCCGCACTGGGGATCAGGCTTACAACCTGGGCATGTGCCCTGACCAGGAATCAAACCAGTGACCTCTTGGTGCCTGGGTCGACGCTCAACCGCTGAGCCACACCAGCCAGGCAACGTATGTCATCTTTTTAATCTTCATAATTTATTTTCAACATTTTCTACTTAAGAAATAGCTTCCTTCTTATGATAAATAGTGGATATAGAAAATTTAGAAAGAATGCAAAATCCTTTTAAAAGTGAAAATCACCCAAATAGTCACCACTTGGACATAACCATAATAACATTGTGCTGTTTTTTTCCTCTCATTACAATTTGTTTTATCATGAGTTAAAACATACATACAACTTACATTTTTTCTTACGATTATATAATAGGAATTTCACATATCACACACAAACATAATACTTGTTTTCTAAATAATTCCATTCTTGCTCACTCATAATTTATTCTACCATTCTATTGTTTTGGCAAATTTCACTATTCTAAGATATAAGGAATAATTTTATACACGGTAATTACATATGTTATTTTTCTTTTCAATGGACTCCTGAAAATAGAATGACTGAGTGAAGGGTATGAATATTTTTAAATTTGCAAGACATGTTAATAAATTTCTTTCCATGAAGTCTGTGACAATGCTCACTCCCACCATCAGAAGAAAAATACAAATTTATCTGATAAATAGAGTTATTAAATCTGCTTTGATTAATATATTGGCCATTATATTTTTTTTGAAAATTATACATTTCCTTCTTTTGTCCAATTACCTACTGCCCAGTTCATTGATGTTGGTTTCTTCCTTTCTTCTTTCCTTATGAAAAAGTTACCATTTTAGATTTTTCATGGGATGAATCTTGAATCATTAAGTATATTACCTGTTAAAGCACAACTAGAAGTATGTTTCTACTCCCTCCCACAGCAGTGTTACAGAATATTACACCAAATTTCACTTTTAGAATTCTCTTTGATGACAAATATATTGATGTTTTCATTCCCAGGCAGACCCCAAATGTGGCAGCTTTTAGCAGCAGCATGCTGGATGCTTCTTCTTGGACCACTATATGGTTATCACAGGAAAGGAAGCATCACAAATCCTGAAGCCCATATGAATATTGTAAGTCATTCATTAAGGAAAAAAAAAATAAGGAATTACTAAGTTATTATCATTTTCATAATTATTGATGTGCTTGTCTAGTTTTCAACAATTCTAAATGGACTGAATCTGTGCCTCCTCCCCCTTTCCCTGACACAGCTAACTAATCTAAGGGTTGAAAGATCTGATACAAGTTGGGGCAGTAATATTCCCTCTCCTGGTAATTAAGTTAGCATCTGATGGTGGCGTACTGAAGAACATGTTCATGAGTTCAGACTGATGGTCTCTACAGAGTATGCTTGAGTTCTTCCTGAGGTTTTTTTTAGAGCAGTTTCTGCGATTTGTGAGCTTTATCAGTGTAGTCTTTTAGTATAGTAAGCCAGAATTGGTTTTAGATTGTAATTTTTCTTTATTTTTTAGTTTTGGTTGTTTTTCACCCAAAGTATCTTAACACACAGGAATTCATTCCAGAAGCAGAATGGAATAGAATAGAGTGGTAGAGGGGAATAGTGCTGGGCACACACACACACACACACACACACAAAGACAAATGACCAATGTCTACTGGAGGATTTATTCTAATGGCACACTCCATACTCCTATGTACATTGTACACTACTGATGTCCTCATTCACACCTGTTTATATTAGAACTTTAAGGATGGCACTGTCAAAGTTTTTAAATTAGTGTCTCTTCTGGTTTCTCTCTCCAACCTATCCAGCAGGTACCCCTAACCTTCTACCACACTGCTGAACTCACAGTCTATGAATATATATCCTTAATCCAAATTTTTCTTTTCCTCCCATATTGGCACACATTTTCTTTTCCTGGTCTAAATCCTTTTTGCCTCTCAATTATTCTATAGTGATAATGAAAATAATAAACATTACATAGCACTTACTTTGCACCAGGCACTGTTAGGGTCGGGGACAAACTGCAACCGAGGTACATGCCCTTAGCGGGAACCGAACCCGGGTCTCTCTGGACCACAGGCCGACGCTCTAACCGCTGAGCCAAACCGGCCAGGGCTTTTATTTTTATTTTTTTATCCTCACCCGAGGACATTTTTTGTTCAGGTAGAGTGGGAGGGAGAGAGAGGAAGAGAGAGAGAGAGAGAGAAACATCGATGTGAAAGGGACACATCAAGTGGCTGCCACCCGCACGACCCAACCAGGGCCGGGGACAAACTGCAACCAAGGTACATGCCCTTAGCGGGAACCGAACCCGGGTCTCTCAGGACCGCAGGCTGATGCTCTAACCGCTGAGCCAAACCAGCCAGGGCTAGATTCTTTATGTATAATTCTCATGACAAGTTTGTGAAAAGTTACTCTTATTATCCTTATTTTATAGTGGAGGAAAATGAGACACAGAAAGGTTAAGTAACTTTCCAAAAATTCCATAGCTACTAAGAGGAAGAGTTAGAATTCAGTGTCATGCTGTTAATGTCCAGAGTCAGAGCTCATAACCACTGCTTCATATGGCCTCATCATGTATATACCACCCCTTGTGTGCCTGGCATGGGCAAATGCATAATTTTGTGGCAAGGGCATGCTTTGGAGCTAAGCTTACCTTGGCTTTAATTTTGTCTTTATATTTCCTAGTTTTACAGTCTCAGATAGATTGAAATCTTCCTGAAACTTAGTTTTCTCAACTGCAAAAAAAAAACAAAAAACGGTAAAATTCTATCTGAAAGGTCATTTATTAAGATTAATAAAACAGAAGATATGAACCATCTTCTATGCAAATAATAAATAAATAGTTCCCCTCTCCCTTGTATAGCTGTGGTTGATGTATCTTCTGTTTCCCCCTCTAGATGCACTCTGTATTCTTTTACACCGTTTTCTCTGTCCAAGAGGTTGATCTGTAAGAAGAACTAGGTCAGCCAGCGACCTTGAACTTTGTTTTTCTTTTCAGTTCATCTAATGGAAACCTTGAGCAGGACATCAAAAGGAAGGAGGAGAGTGAAATCAGAGAGTTATTCCCCTGGAGGTCACCGCAGGCAGGCTGTCTCCCTCTGCTAAAGGTCACAGCTCCTCTCAATGTGGCCCTCTCTTCCTGACTTTCTGTTCTGATTCTGGTAACCACTTCCTCTCATCTCCTTTAACGCAGAAGGTTGGTAACAGCTCCCTTGATACTAGCCTTAGGGTACTACACAGTCATCAGTGGTTTCCCTCATTAGGTAACTACATAATTTCTTGTCAAAACATTTTGAGAATGAGCTAAGGTGTAGTAATAATACTAGGCCAGGAAAACCGGAGTGTATAGTCACCCAACCTTGCCACACCCATGCCCCTGCATGCATCCATCCATCCCCCTTTTAAAACTTTCCTCAAGTTACCCTGATGTTCCTGCTTTACTCTGTCTCAACACAGGAAGAGTGGCAGAGTGGACTGTGACTGAAAGTGCTATATTGCAATGCAGGTATAAAAATCAAGAGATTATATCATAAGTATATATATATATATTTTTCCTCTTTTCAGAGCCAGATTATTTCTTACTGGGGTTATCCTGATGAAAAGTATGATGTTGTGACCAAAGATGGTTATGTCCTTGGAATTTACAGGATTCCTCATGGGAGAGGATGTCCAAGAACAGGTAGGGTTTATTTTGTTATCAAAGGGATAAAGTCTAAAGTGGAGATTCCTAGATGTGCTGATAGCAGCAAAGCAGCTTTTGTTCTGAAACAGAGTCTAGCGTCTTCCATTACAGGAGGAAAAATCATCACCTCCACCTCTACAACTCTCTTTCATTTGTATAACCCTCTGGGGTTTTTAAAGCATTTTCATAGACACTGTTTATTTAGCCTTTTCTTCTTCACGTTTGTTTCTTTCTGATCTGCAGATTCTCTCAGCTTTAATATCGCCCAAGAATAGGCTTACACATCATTATCATCTTTTGCCTCTGCTACTTCAGTAGCTTTCTAACTGGTATTATATCAGTTGTAATCAGTCCTCCCAAGTCAGCGGGATTTTATTTTTTAAGTTAATCTGACCCTATTAGTACTATGCATAAACTTAATTCAAGAGCAATTTCTAGCTCCCTGCAATATAGGTTGATATCTGTAGAGAAAAGAGAAATCTGTGTGGCAGGAACTCTTTACTTTCTTTTCTGATTTTTAGCTTCCTTTCTTCTTTGGAGTGTTACATAACAAACTCCCAAAGAGGAGAGATGGAATGGTGTTCACTTAATAGAACCACCCATTCCCCCAAACAACTCTATTTTCTTTATAAATACTTATGAGAGCTTTGTTCCCACAAACTTTTGTCTTATGATCTCTGCCAGGTAGCTGCCAAAATGCATGAGATGAGAAGTTACCTCTGCAATGAGAAGCTGCCTGAGGACTGCAATCAGAGAGAGACTATGGACTATGACCGCTATTAATTATTATTAATATAAATAATAATATAGCAAATACTTATTGTGCTGGATAGTCTATTAGATATTTTATTTTTAATTTAATTCTTATGACTACACTGTGAGATAACATGTTATTATTACCCATTATGCAGATAAGTGAACTGACCTGATTATAAAGAACTTAATACATAGTAGAATAATTTTGAACCAGAAAAATCTGACTCCAGCACCTACAAAACAACACATTTCATTATATATAATCCAAATTTTACAAAAAGAAAAATAAGACATAGAGAAGGGCCCGGCCAGTGTAGCTCAGTGGATTGAGCATCCTCCCACGGACTGAGAGGTCCTGGTTCAATTTCCAGTCAGTGCACATGCCCAGGTTTCAAGCTTGATCCCTCGTAGGGGGCGTGCAGGAGGCAGCCAATCCATGTTTTTCCCTCACATCAATGTTTCTATCTCTCTCTCCCTTCCTCTCTTTCTAAAAAATCAGTAAAAAACATATTTTTTTTAAAAAAGAGAGAAGATAACTTGCCCAAGTAAGTAGTTCAGAAAGGACCAGAGCCTAGTTTTGCCTGGCACCAAACTTTATCTCTTAACGTCTCTTCTATACTACAGGAAGTCAGGACAGAGAATTTTCTCATAGACACTGAGGAAGTTGATGTGAAATTCTTGTTGCCTATGTTTTGCAGCTCCAAGGCCTGTTGTGTATTTGCAACATGGCTTAGTTGCATCTGCCACTAACTGGATTTGCAACCTGCCCAACAACAGCTTGGCTTTTCTTCTGGCAGATGCTGGATATGATGTGTGGATGGGGAACAGCCGGGGAAATACCTGGTCCAGAAAACACTTGAAATTTTCACCCAAATCACCAGAATTCTGGGCCTTCAGGTAAGGAGATACAAAGTAATAAGTAAAGTGTGTACTGTATTCATATATATGAATGAACACCCTTTGGCTTTTCTCTTTCTGTCCAAATGCATCAATGGAATTCACAAGAAGGAAACAAACATTTCCTCCTCTGCCCAGGCTCTGAAAAAATGCCCTTACTATTGCATTTATGTTTGTTTTTAAAACCCGACTTGTTGGTGCGTGTGTGCATATGCAAGTATATATGCAAAAAAAAAAAAAAAATCAAAATGCAAAGGTCACCTTTAGAAAGGTTAATTCCAAGACTATTGTTATCAGAGAAATTGGGGTTTACTCTTTCCCGCTGGGACCTGGGTGTGGGGTCCTTACCATATATATTTTTTTAAAAGGATTTTCTGAGACTTGCATGGGAGAATGAGTGGTTTTCATTTGAGTGGAATTACATCCCTGGGATTTTAAAGTCCCATTCCAGCCATAGAAGAAGTATAGCTGGGGTTTCAGTGAAGCTCAAATCAGAGCCAGTGTCCAGAGTTTCCATCCCACGTTGCAGCCGGGTCCGGTTCAGCATCAGGCTAGTTGCAGTCCATTAGTCCACTGTGTGTGGGGTCCACACGGACCATGTGGGCAAATACAGGGGAGCCAAGAGAGTGCGCCCCCTGCAACAAGAGTCCCAAGAGAGCCAAGGGGAACTGAGCACAGGAACAAGAGCTCTTTTGTCTAGGGGATTAACTATCCCAAATTTCTCAAGTTTGCAGTGGCCATGCCCATTCTGACCTGTTCCCAGGGGTGACTGACAGGCAAGTACCTTCCCAACATCACCCCAATTTTACTGGGCACGTGTCTATTCTTCTCCCTGTCCAGTCCCTCCTCCCAGCGATCTGTGGGGAAATAAATCAGTGGCTCCCTGGGGAATGTAAAGCTATAGCCTCCTGGTGAATCTATCCAAATGACATGCCCACAACGGCTAGCCTCCCCCTTTGTTCCTTTCCTGCTATTAATAACTTGATTAATTACAATGATATCCACTTTATCCATGTGGACCCAAAGGGAAGTTGACACGGTACTCTTATTAAAGAGGAAAAATGAACTTGATGAAGAAAGGGGATCAGAAACAAGGTTCTATTTGAAAAGCCTGAGAACCAGACATTCATGATAAGCAGAGTGAGCCCAGTCCTTGTGCACAGATGGCACTCAAATATTTACTAAGTAGTGAAAGAACTCTGCCCTGCGTAGGCTGGCAGTGCTGAAACCTGCCCCTGGAGTCAGGTGTTGGTCATAGGGTTAAACCCCTGCACTCTCACAGGAGATAAGAACCATACCTCGAAGGTCATTAAAGCTGTTTGGTCCTTGGCTCATTCTTGCCTTATTCCTGGAAGCCATTTGGCATTTCCTATTTCCATATCCCAGTGCAGTTGTGTCATTGAACTATTGCAAATAACATGATGATTTCCTAAATGAGTGTTTTCTCAACTACAACACACAAAAACAAGCACCTGAGGTGATTAATTAATATTCAGATTACCAGGTGTCTTCCCTGATTCAATCTTTCTGGGCTGAGGTCTGAAAATCTGTTTGCTTTAACATATATATATATATATATATATATATATATATATATATATATATATCATTCCAGGTAATTGTTCTTTTTAAGAAAGTTTGGTAAATCTGCTGCAGAATTAAGTGAAATATAACTAGCCTTTCAGGAAAAGCCTTTGTAGACCTTTGCAAATCAGATTTTTCTGATTACAGTTTCTTAACGATGTTACTCTTACAATCAAGGTGTCATTCTAGAAAGTCACAGAGACCTAGAATATCGTAAATCGACTCTAGTCTTACATTAAACAAAAGTTAATGTCTGCAATGAATGTGTTTGAAAAGTGCAAGCCTAACAATGAGATATTCTTACCCCGCCACAATTTTGTTGTGTTTTTCCTTTGGCAGTTTGGATGAGATGGCTAAATATGATCTTCCAGCCACATTTGATTTTATTAAAGAGAAAACTGGACAGCAGCGACTCTTCTATGTGGGCCACTCCCAAGGCACCACCATCGGTGTGTTTGGGGCAAGTGTGATCTGAGAGTGTCAGAGGATCTTCTTCCATATTCATGAAAGGGGTGGGGATTTCTTCCCTCTGTGCACTCTCTAGCTTGGGGACCTGAATTGGGAAACCATTTATTCTGGCTGATTTCTTTTCTTTTCTTTCCTTTTCTTTTGGTACGTGCCCCTAGCGGGAACCAAACCCAGGACTCTCTGGTCCGCAGGCCGACGCTCCAACCACTGAGCCAAACCAGCCAGGGCTGATTTCTGAAGACTAAATAAAATGAGGACCACAACAAAGATTTCTTTTCCTGTAGGACTGAATCTGTAGATTAATAAATAAGCCAGAAGGAGAGATAATTATTCATTTATGTACACAACAAACAATTTTCAGACCCTGGGAGATGCTGGGGAAGCAGAGATGAATATGGTATACATCTCTCCTTTCAAGAACTCACAGTCTAGTGAAAACACCAAATAGAAAGCAGAGAATTACAAACCCCCCTTGTTATATGCCACGATCAGTGTGCTTTCACTTCCCAAGATGCACTGGGGTAGACTGAGTATGGATAGGGCCATGCTGACAATACCATCCGGCACTTCACTCCCTTCCCTGCTCCCCATTCAGCTACAGACCTCAACAATGCCAACAGCATTTCCACCAGTCTCTTTTCTATATCTTAACCCTAGTCAGGTTTCTAGTATAAAGTAAGTCTTTATATGCCTGTACTACACTATGCACCTTACATACACTCTCATCTTTGGAAACTACAAACATGTGAGACAACTATCATCCATATGTTACATATGGCTGAATATAGAAATCCTTTCTAATGGTGATACTGCCAAATACTATCTCAAATATACATACATATATATATATATATATATATATATATATATATCCTCCAAAGAATCATTCTATGAGGATTCTATTTTCCACATTTACAGATTGAGAAAACCAAGACTTATACAGGGGAGATAACTTGCCCAAGTCTTCACAGACTAGTGAATAGGAAGCCAAAAGTGTAACCCAGTTTTGATTGATACCAAAGACTATGGTTGAGCAAGAATGGCCCTAGGAGTTTACCTAGACATGCCCCACAAGGGCTATTTTAACCCTTTCTGCAGCTCTTGTATACTCCAGGGACAGGAAGCACTTTATTCTGAATTACCCAATTCCATTCTTGAGAAATTTAGAAAATCCTCCCCTACAAATGGTGTTTACTCTGAGTTATTTTGTATTTGTTGTTGTTGTTTTTTAATATAACTACTTCTGCTATCATTTAAAATAAATTTAGAATTGTTTTATTTATTTTTTAAAATTTTTTATTTATTTTTTGTTACAGATATTTCTCCTTTTTTACCCCATTGGCACCCCCCTCCCCAGCCCACCCCCGCCCCGTCCCCGGCTTAGTTGTCCATGTCCATTGGTCATGCATACATGCATATAAATTCTGTGGTTTATCTCTTCCCACCCCCCATCACCCCCTCTTCTGAGGGATGTCAGTCTGTGCCCTACTTCCATGTTTCTGGGTCTACCATATTCCTCAGACTGTTATGTTCATTATATTCCATATATAAGTGAGATCATGTTGTATTTGTCTTTTTCTGCTTGGCTTATTTCACTTAGGATAATACTTTTCAGGTCCCTCCATGTCGTCTCAAAGGATAGTTTTAAAAGTATAAACTAGATCAAACAACAAGTGTTGGCGAGGGTGTGGAGAAAAGGGGACTCTAATACACTGCTGGTGGGAATGCAGACTGGTGCAGCCGCTATGGAAAACAATATGGTGCTACCTCAAAAAATTAAAAATTGAACTTCCATTTGACCCAGTGATCCCACTGCTGGGAATATACTCTAAGAAGCCTGAAACACCAATCAGGAAGACTATATGTACCCCCATGTTCATAGCAGCACTATTTACAATAGCTAAGATCTGGAAACAGCCCAAGTGTCCACCAGTAGACGAATGTATAAAAAAGCTGTGGTACATATACACAATGGAGTACTATGCAGCGGTAAGAAAGAAAGATCTCTTATCCTTTGAGACGACATGGAGGGACCTGGAAAGTATTATCCTAAGTGAAACAAGCCAAGCAGAAAAAGACAAATACCACATGATCTCACTTATATATGGAATATAATGAACATAACAGTCTGAGGAATACAGTAGACCCAGACACATGGAAGTAGGGCACAGACTGACATCCCTCAGAAGAGGGGATGGGGGGTGGGGGGGGTGGGAAGAGATAAACCACAGAACTTATATGCATGTATGCATGACCAATGGACATGGACAACTAAGCCGGGGACAGGGTGGAGGGGGGGTAGGGTGGGGGGTGCCAATGGGGTAAAAAGGTAAAATATCTGTAACAAAAAAATAAATAAAAATTCATATAAAAAAAATAATAATAAAAAAAAAAGTATAAACTAGTATCTTCTTTTCTTTCAGCTTTCATAGCATTCTCTACAAATCCAGAGCTGGCAAAAAGGATCAAAATATTTTTTGCATTGGCTCCAGTCACTACAGTGAAATACACCCAAAGTCCTATGAGAAAATTAACAACTCTTTCCAGAAAAGCAGTCAAGGTATGTGACTTCCCCCAGTCGAAATCTGTAGTAACTAAAATAAACTCTGGTTGCACTGATTTCAATAGAAGAAAACCAAATGACATTTTACAAAAGTCCTGGAGGTGTCCACGTGGGTTTACTGATGATGTGCAATTTTGCCAGTAGGGTTCAGGGGTTCACTCTGATGCCCTTCTATCCTATTGTCTTCACCAATGTCTTCTCACTCATGTATATCATTCCTCAATTGCACATAAAGAAAATGCCCATTTGAGTAATTGGTTTGTTTAACCTAGTATTAAATTTCTCTCCATTAGTCCTAGGTTTCTGAGGGGCAGTATAGCATAGCAGCTGAGATCACAGCAAGAACAGATGGCATGGTCTTTGACCCCAAAATTTTCTGCTAGCTGACAGCTAACTAAGCTAATCATTTACTCAGTCGAGGAGAATTGGTCTATGTGTATTGGTGTGTTTTTCTGTTGCATATTAATGTGGGCTTCTCCACAGCAGACAAAAGGTAATCATGGTATATAATTGAAATCATTGTTTTCAATTAAAACAGATAAAACTGAGACAATTTTTATAGAAGCCAGGGAGTTTGGTTGGCAAGAGATAAGCAAATTAGCATGTGGTGAGTCAATTCCATACCTGTACAACTGAGAAACACAATAGCAGAAAAACCACCAAGCAACATGGAAAATGCTCACATTTCCCTCTTAGTACTTGGGCCTCTTATACCATAAAGATTTAGTCTGGCCTGGCCCCTATATTGGGCAAATAACACTGGACTGCTTGCTATCTTATTTCAGCATTCCTACACAGTTAGATATTTTGAGATGGTGGGCTCTTTCTATTTTTCTCAATTTGCACCACTCTGCCTCAATCTTTCACATGTTTTGACATGCCTGTGGTGTAGTGCAGTTAGATTCAATTCTGTAAAAAGATATCTAGGAGCTACTATTTCAAAAACATAGCATCAGGAAACAACTATGTCTGTAAAGATACATTTCAGCTGAAGATGGATATGACTGAAAATGAGGGTGCAAGTGAGAGTCGTGGGGGACTTGACTAAGGGGAGAGTAGGGGAATGGAAAGTAAATGGAAATCAGTTGCGTCATGTTGAGGAGTTTAGATTTTGTTCTGTTGGTGATGGGAAGCCAGTGAAGGATAAGCAATGGCTTAAGGATAAGAAAGGATAAGAAATGGCTTGATCGGATTTGTACCATTAGACTTCCCAGAAAAGCTTTAACTCCAATGGAGGAGCTACCACATGTGACCCACTGATTCCTAATAGAAATTCCCGCCTTATAATGATAGAGAGGAAAAAAAGGTAGGGAAACACAGAGAAAAGTGCAAATGTTTCTAGTTGTTGGAATTACAGAAGATTTCTTGGATGAGGTGGCATTTGAGTTTGGGCTTCAGGGCCAGATTTCAATATAGAGGGTGGTGTAGGAAGTCTTTCCAAACCAAAAGGGTAACATGAGCACCATTGAAGTAGTAAATCACAAGCCATGGGAAACCACATGTAACTGACTTTACCGGAGCCTTACATTTGTAAAAAAGGGTATGAGAAATGGTATGGGAAATGTAGGTGTAGATTCTGAAAGGACTTGAGTGCCAAGTCAGTGAGTTTGAAATTTAGTCTCTAAATGATGGGTGACCAGGGGAAGTATTTGTACATGGGAAATGGCACACACAATGCTCTTGTTAATAAAGATTCTCCTGGTAACCAAATGGAAGGAAGTGGGAGTCAAGGACATCAAGAAGAGCAAAAGATAAGGAGAGTGGTTATGGGATTATTGTGACACTCAGCTGATAGATATTGAGATCTGAGCCAGAGTTGTGCAAAAATAAAAAAATAAAAGCCTACAGGATTTGACAATAAAATAAGCATGGTATAAACTTTGAGAGGGTGGGTTTCTTTCTCTTCTCTTCTACTATTAGCCAAATGTTCTCGGGCATATCTGGAGAATGGCTTCCTCTTTCAGTGGAGAGCTGGACTGAGACAACCCTTTCACTATCTCTGATTAGAGAATTCTTTTTATTGATACTATCAGTTTTTTTTTTTATTACTCCTTCAATTCAATTCAATTTACATTAGACACCAGTGAAAGGACTTGAGTCAGGTAGAACCAAGTTCATATTCTGCCTCTGCTTTCAACCCCCTGTGACCTTGGGCAAACTGTGTAACCATTCTAAGTCTAAGTTTTTACATTTATCAAATGGGTATAATTTGAAGTTCTGATGTCAGCAAGATGGTGAGCTTGGGGTCCCAACACATGTCTGCCCCATAGAAACAAACAAACAAAAACCCAATAAATAAATAGCTATAAAGTGATGAAAATAGCTCTAGGAAAATTCTGGATGATAATGAAGAAGGTGCAGAAACCCTGCAGAGCTCAAATACCAAGAATGACTTTATAGGAAAGTTTAGGAAGCATTTCCCCTGCATCACCCCTTTCCTCAGTCTAGAGCATCTCAGTACACAAAGGGATCCCCTCAGAGGGATTTCATCCCATGGGTAAAAACAGAGCAAAAGAACCCTAGCAAACCTCATCACTACCATGGACATTTGCGGTCTTTGTTACCAAGGATCTCCACAGTCTTTCCCAGTGCTGAACACCGCTGACAAAGCTGCCCTGAGTCCCCAGTCCTGCATCTCTTTTCAAGGGCTGAACTGTCACTGAGGTGAGACCTGTTCTCAGGTGCCCCATTTTCTGCTATGTCCCACTCTGGAATCAGGCCACCACAGTGCCTTGCCATTTATGGGACTGAAGTTGCCACTGCCCTGCCCTTTGCTCTCTAAACTACAGCTTTGGACCCACCATTACTGAGGCCACACTACTGTTTCTTTGTGCTCTGCCCTTGGATCCTGAGTTGTGGCTTCATCCTAGCATCATTAGGGCCAAGCTGCTGCTGTTCCGCATCTGCACCCTGGGACTTTAATCCTCCATCCCCAGGTCATGCTACTCTTACTACACCCTGCCCCATGGGCCCAAGCCACCACTGCACCCTGTCATCTCTGGATCCATGCTGCTGCTGAGTCTCCCAAACTCTTCCCCAACCCCTGGGCTGAAGTCACTGCAGTGAGCACAAGAGACCCAGACCTCAGTTCCATAAGAGATCTGCAGATGCCCACACCTCAGAACTGGCACCATCACCAAAATAAATGCACCTATGTCCCAGCCCAGGTACTGTGGTAGTTCTGAATGTACCTAAAACCAAGACCTTGGCTTTGCTGCTAATCTGAGTGGCAGTGCACTAAACCTGACACCAGGAAGTATACCCAGAGCTGTAGCTTCTTCCCTTGGGCAAAAAGAACAGGAAGATATCAACAGCCTTTTCCACTGAGGACCTTAGTAACTCTAGCCACCACAACTGGTAGGATCTCCACAATTTTGGCCACTGAGGATCCCTGTAGTCTTCACCACTGTTGACCTCAGCTGACAAAGCTTAAAAAAGAATTAATACCTATACTGCTTAAATTCTTCTAATAAATTGAAGAGGGAGGAACACTTTCAAACTCATTTCACAAGGTCAGCATTATCCTGATACCAAAGTCAGACAAGGATACTACAAGAATAGAAAATTACAAACCAATACCTCTGACGAACATAGATGCAAAAATCCTCAAGAAAATACTAGCAAACTGAATTCAATAGTACATTACAATAATTATTCACCATGATCAAGTGGGATTAATCTGTGGTATGCAATGATGTTTCAACATACACAAATCAATAAATGTGAAACACCACTTTAATAGAATGAAGTATAAAAATCCAATGATCATGTTAATTGATGTGGAAAGGGAGTTTGACAAAGTTAAACTTTCTTTCATGATAAAAATGCTCAATAAATTAGGTATAGAAGAAATATACTTCAATGTAACAAAGGTTATATATGACAGACCCATAACTAACAACATACTCAACAGTGAAAAATTAAACACCTTGCCTCTAAGACCAGAAACAAGAAAAGGTTGCCCACTCTCACCACTTCTATTCACCATAGTACTGGAACTCCTAGCCAGGGCAATTAGACAAGAAAAAGAAATAAAAGGTATTCAAATCAGAAAAAAAGAAGTAAAATTATCCCTGTTTGCAGACAACATAATCTTACATAAAAAAATACCCTGAATATTCCACAATTATGAACTCATAAATGGATTCAATAAAGTTGTAAAATATAAAAACATAAAAAAATCAGTTGTATTTCTATACCCTAAACAATGTACCACCTGAAAGAGAAATTAAGAAAGCAATATCATTTACAATAGAATCAAAACCAATAAAATATCTAGCAATAAATTTAACCAAGGAGATGAAAGACATGTACCTGAAAACTATAAGACATTGATGAAAGACATTGAAGAAGACACAACTAAATGAAAAGATATTCTGTGTTCATGGATTTGAAGAATTGATATTGTTTAAATAGCCATACTACCCAAAGCTATCTATAAATTCAATGCAACCCCTATCAAAATTTCAATGGCTTCTCACAGAAATTAAAAAAAAAAAAAATCCTACCTTAAAATTTATATGAAACCACAAATAACCAAACCAATCTTGAAAAAGAGCAAAGGTGGAATCTTCACAGTTTATTATTTCAAACTATATTACAAAAATGTAGTAATCAAAACAGTATGGTACTGGTATAAAAACAGGCACATGAACCAGTGGAACAGAATAGAGAGTCCAGAAACAAACCCACACTTATGGTCAATTAATCTTTTATGGAGTGCTATGAACACACAATGGAAAAAGGATAGTCTCTTCAATAAATGATCTTGGGAAAACTGGCTAGCCACATGCAAAAGAATGAAACTGGACCCCTATTTTACATCACCCACAAAAATTAAGTTGAAATGGATTAAAGATGTAAGTGTGAGACCTGAAACCATAGAACTCCTTAAACACACACACACACACACACACACACACACACACACAGGAGGGAAGCTTTTTGACATTAACTTTACCAATAATATTTTTGGTAAAACATAAAAAACATGGATAATAAAAGCAAAAATAAAAAAATAAGACTAACTAAAAAGCTTCTGTTCAGTAAATAGAGTAATCAATATGTTGAAAATAAAATGGTTACTGTAAGTGGGTGTTTCTAAAAGTTTTAAGAATCAAAAAATATATTTTCAATCAACAGGTTGTATACATTAAACTTACAATTGTATGTCAATTATATCTCAATAAAGCAGGGGAAAATGCAAAAAAAAAATACATATATATATATTTCAGCTTTATATCTAGTTTATTATCCTAAGATTATAAAACTAATTATTGTAAAACAAAGACAATATTGTACTTACATGCACAGGGGTTAGATATTAATTTATGTTTTAATTTAAAGGATTCTTAAAGTTCAACTTACTTGCAACATTGCTTGAAATTCCACTAGTAGAGATTCATTTCTTTGGGTTAAGTTTTTGCCTCTAGAATGAGTTTATTAAAAGATTCTGGAAGGAACAACTCATTAAGTCTGTATCAGTTACTAAATATAATAATAATATTGTTTGGGGAATGTTTACGAAGTTCTAGAAAATGCATTAAGTGCTTTTAAACATGACTTCTTGTCTTCACAACAGTCCTACTGAGTGCATATTAAGTTTTCATTTTATAGTTGAGAAAATTCAGGATAATAGAAATGAAATACTTTCTTAAGTTATAAGAAAGAGTCCAAAATCAAACCAAGGTATTCCTGACTCCAAAGCCCTTACAGTGTTCTATGGGGACTAGTTTCCTAGGGGGCGTTACAAAAACACTGCAAGTAAAGAAGTGAGTTGGGTTGACCACTTTGAGTTCAGAGAACCACAAAGACAAAATGTAACAGAACACTCAGTTTCACTGAGTTCTATGTACGAAGCAGATGTCATCTTTTGTCCAGTCCTTGTTTGAATTACCACTCATTTTACATGCTTAACATGCACATCCATGAAACTTGATCATGTTTTAAATTGAACTTACAGGTGATATTTGGTGACAAGATGTTCTCTCCTCATACGTTTCTTGAACAATTCATTGCCACCAAGGTGTGCAACCAGAAGATATTTCATCGTATTTGCAGTAACTTCCTATTCTCTTTTTGTGGATTTGACCCAAATAACTTAAACATGGTACGTGTAAGTAGTTTGATCTGGGAAAGTAATTGTTTTGTTAAATAGCAGTTAGGGGATTTCATTCTCAATTGCATAGAAACTGTGTCTGCTGCTTTTTTGTCTTCTGAAATGTAATTAGCATGTTCATGGCTTCCAACCAAAGCTGAGAGTCCACCTGTGTTAGGTTTTTTTTGCTGAAAATTCTCATCAACTCTTGCTATTGGCCAAAATGCCACATTGAAAAGTTCTTCACTTTGCAGCTATGGTTTTGAAATTTGTCTTACTGTGCTTGAGCCCGAACTTAGACCTACTGAAGTAGAACTTCAGGAAGTGAGCTCAGATATCCTTATTTTCTAAATCAATTTTCTACTTTCAGAGGTGATATGGAAATAGCCATGTTGTTGGCCACTGCTTTAATTCCAAAAGATTAAGGGGCATCCTTTCTATGATAGCTATACATTCACTGTTCAAGGAATACCGAGAGGAATACATGTTGGGGTTCTTGTCCAGTCCTTTCCAACTTAACTGAAATCCTTTCCTTTTTTTAGTTACTACTAGCTGACCCAAAGAGTAGGAATGGGAAAGAGAGAAAGTTACTGTTTACTCCCTCGCTAGAACGGAGATATGTTTGATACCAGAGACATGAAGTTGATTTCTGCCTACATCACAGATTCTGCCCAGAGACTTGTGTCCTTCTGTCAGTGGAAAGCATGGATTAACGCTGTTCTTGTTTTCAAGCAAGATTTATGAAAGATTGTTTGTGCAAAGCATGCCGTAGCCACTGCCTTTCCACATTCCTTTTTCAGTTTCGGAATTTGCTAGGGAAACTATGCTTGCCTATTACTTGGATGGAAGCATTCAATGTAGGCAAAGCTAAGTAAAAAAGACCTTTAGGCAAACTCAATAGAATAATTTAAAAAGCACCCTCTCAACATGATTTAAAAGTTTGCTAAAGCGCCCATCTGGTGTGGCTCAGTGGTTGAGCATTGACCCATGCACCAAGAAGTCGTCAGTTTGATTCCTGGTCAGGGCACACGCCCAGGTTGTGGGCCCAATCCCCAGTGGGGGGCATGCAGGAGGCAGCCAATCGATGTTCTCTCTCTTTGATGCTTCTCTCTCTCTCTTCTTCTCCCTTCCTCTCCCTCTAAAATCAATAAAGAAAAACAAATTTTTTAAAAATTTGCTAAAGAAAGACTTTGCAAAAATGACATAGTTGAACATAAATTGGGGTTACTCATTATACATTTATATAGTCAGATTGCCTTTTTCCCTCACTGTTAGGAGCTGGACTATGGGATATTACAATGTCTGCAAGAACGTTTATTTTAGTAAAGTATAACCAGGAATACCTAAGTAGAGAATTTTTAGAACTTTGAAATTCTAGAACTTTGAAATTTTTAGAACACATATCCAGAACTCAGCTCTAGAGATTTTAATATTGATTCATAAGTTTGAGTAACTCATAAGTATTCTTTTTTTTAAAAAAACTCCAAGATGTTTCTGATGTTGACTTTGGTGGAAAAATAACTCTTTTGTGTAATAAAAAAATAAAATGTAATTGAAAACATTAAAAAAATCTAAGGATTTTAATATTCAGAATAAGTATAAACATTAATGAAGGTTAAAATATTGAATAGATTATGTCCCACAAACTTTCAAAGAGCACTGTAGAATATTTACCACATTTTAAAAATCAGAAAACAAAAGGGAACATTCAGATCTTTTCTCAATGTCTTACAATCAACAACTTTCTCCGAATGTCCTTTGGGACATAACATTAGGTGAAGAAGAAGGTCAATGGGGCTTTTATCTCATGACTTCTTGTCCCCTTGGACCTGTCCCAGGTGAGACTGGCAAGAAAAGGTGTATTACCTTCCATCTTTGACTAGTGGGATGCCCTTTGTCAGGACAGAGAGACAGAGCTAAGGAAGGGGAAAGTTCTTAAAGATGGGCTTCTTTGGTTAAAAAATCTTCAGAGAAGAAAAACAGAGACAAAAATATTCAAATTTACTTGTGATGTGATTACACGATGGGCCTCCAGATGAGACATAATTTCTTTCCTTTGCAGAGTCGCTTGGATGTTTATTTGGCACAGAGTCCGGCAGGAACATCTGTTCAGAATATGCTACACTGGGCCCAGGTACGTGCTTCCTGTTTCTGATATGACACACACATATCTCTGCAAGATCCCCACGGAGCGCTCCCAGAGAGCTCACTGCAGGGTTGTGCCGGCACCTGCCACTGTCCAGTCGATGTTTCTAGAATCAGTGTCAACTCATATTGATTTTCTTTACTCCCTTCTAGTTCTCATGTCTTCAGTGTCTGGAGTTTGGGCCTGGTTCCCAAATAGTCTAACTGAATTCTGATCCTTAGGTTATTCCAAATGGCTTTTTCTAGGGAAAGCTTGTATTTCCTCTTCTGGGAAATCACCAGTTCTAATAGAACTTTATATATTATGATGTAGACTATTTCAGAAAGATCTCATCCTCTGATTGTCATACAGGTCATTTCAGAGTGTATAATAATGCTTTATTCAGAGATAATTAAAAATTAGGAGGGATTAAAATAGATTAATGATGTCAATTATTACCGTTTTTTCTGTGTGTGTGTGTGTGTGTGTGTGTATTACTCTATTTACTCAATATTTGACGAGCTCAAAGGTAAGTCAGATTTGATTCTATAGTTTTCTGACCTAAATGTGTATAAGAGAGAGGGAGGGGGAAGTACTTCCCATAGTTTTAATATATCTGAGATCTCTAGGAATTTGCATTTTAACCTACACCCTGAAAAATTTGTCCGTTGCTTTAAAATTTAGAATCACTGCTACAGATTGCCTGAAACACTAATTGAGGATGTCTGAAATTCTTTGAAGAATTCCACCTCTAGGAAATAAACCTTCATGTTCACATAGGAGAAAAGATGTTTGAGAAATAGGGCCTCCTACTGGTGAAGAGACAGAGAGACTCTCTGATGGGTATGACCTTCCAGGCAACACAACTTTAATTTCATATTTATGAAGCACTTACTATGTGTTCTTCTGCTATTTGGATACATGATTTCACTCAGTATAATTGAACTCATTCTCATAAAAATCTTTCAATAAAGACATTGATTATCTTCATTGTACAAATGTCATAGTCAATCCCTTACACACCTCACAGCTGACCCCTCTTAGAGAGCACTTGTGTCTGACAGCAAGTCCTCTTCAGGGTAGAAGTAAAGGTGGGGGGATAAAATATTTGGTCATAGGTTACACAGACAGCTAAGGCAAGAGGGAGGAAGATGGTAGTAATATTAGTAAAAAGAGATTTGTTGAGAATTTCTAGGTGCCACACGTTTTTATGCATTGCCCTGTGTAATCTTCACAATTTATGAGAAGAGTGTCATTGTCATTTCTACTTCACAGGTGAGAAAATAGGTTTACAGAAGACAAACATCTTGTCCTGGACCACAGATTTAATACTTTGTTAGGCCTGGATTCAAACCAGGCCTGCTTGACGCTAGAATCCACGCTCCTAACTAGTGCGCTTTGTTGCTTCCCGTTGCTGAAACTTTGCAGAATCTCAAAAACAGAAGGCTGCTCCCTTTGTCAGTATAAATCTGCTGGGAATAATTTCAAACTAAAAATCAAGTTTAAATCAATAAGTGTGAAAAAAAAAAACCCAAACCCTTAGAGTAGTCTGAGAATAATTCAATGAAGTGCTTGAGGTAAAGGGACAAATTGTCCCTTCAAATCGGCATGGGTGGCAAATAACAGAAAAAGGAACCCCTTGGTGTATGAATGTGTCTATTCTAATATCTGAAGTCTAAAATTAAAATGCAAAAATGGGCACGCATGGTGTCTCCGACATGCAGCCTGTGGCCATGTTACTGATAACATGGCAGGATGTTTGACCCTGCAGACTGGTGACAGACAGCCGTGCCATACCTCCCACAGGAAGCACAGGGGGGGTGGGGGGCATTCTGTGAACGAACATTTTCTTCAATGGTAACAAAACTGTTTAAGAATAGAGTGTAAATCATCAGAGAGATGCAAATTAAAACATCAATGAGGTATCACCTCACACCTGTCAGAATGGCCGCCATCAACAAATCATCAAACAAGTGTTGGCGAGGGTGTGGAGAAAAGGGGACTCTAGTACACTGCTGGTGGGAATGCAGACTGGCGCAGCCACTATGGAAAACAATATGGTGTTTCCTCAAAAAATTAAAAATTGAACTTCCATTTGACCCAGTGATCCTGCTTCTAGGAATATACCCTAAGAAGCATAAAACACCAATCAGAAAGAATATATGTACCCCCATGTTCATAGCAGCACTATTTACAATAGCTAAGATCTGGAAACAGCCCAAGTGTCCATCAGTAGACGAATGGATAAAAAAGCAGTGGTACATATACACAATGGAGTACTATGCAGCTGTAAGAAAGAAAGATCTCTTATCCTTTGAGATGACATGGAGGGACCTGGAAAGTATTATCCTAAGTGAAACAAGCCAAGCAGAAAAAGACAAATACTACATGCTCTCACTTATATATGGAATATAATGAATATAACAGTCTGAGGAATAGGGTAGATCCAGAAACACGGAAGTAGGGTACAGACTGACAACCCTCAGAAGAGGAGGTGGTGGGGGGTGGGAAGAGATAAACCACAGAACTTATATGCATGTATGCATGATCAATGGACATGGACAACAAAGCCGGGTACGGGGTGGGTGGGGGGAAGGGGGAGGAGGGTGTCAATGGGGTAAAAAAGGAGAAACATCTGTAACAAAAATAAAATAAAATAAATAAATAAATAAAAATAAATTATGGGGAAAAAAAGAATAGAGTGTATAATTATAATATTTTAGACCACCTGATAAGGATAATAAGGTTTAAAGTTGTTTAATAATAATGGTAGTGATTTTTTAATGTAGGAGATGTATAAGTGGTGCCTTTTAAATATATAGAATTCCTTAAACATATATAAATTCCTTAAGCCAAGATATTTAAGAATCATTCAATTCAGCATCTTTTAAAATTTTCTATGTACAGAATTGTAACATTTAAAGACATGCTGTCTGAGGATTTTCATTGAAAAATTATAGGAGGGAATAAAAGTGTGACAATCAATATCACTAATTAAGATCAATTTGTATCATTTGGCTTATTAATTTATATTGAATTTTAGCTCATGTGCGAAAGAATGGGACATAACGTCAATTCTTCTTTACTGTCTTTAAATGTATGTTTTTCTATATCATTTTAATGTGTTTATTTTTTAAATTTTATTATAGGCTGTTAATTCTGGTCTGTTCCAAGCTTTTGATTGGGGAAACCCTTATCAGAACATGATACACTTTCAACAGGTACGATAAGAACAGTCATCAGTTGCATACTGCAAATGGACTAATAAATACAAGGTGGGGCAAAAGTAGGGTTACAGTTGTGAGAACAAGAGTTTATTTTTATGTTATTATTTATCAATTATTGTATTATTTTCAATACAAACAACTGTAAACATACTTTTGTCTCACCCTGTATAGTATCCACCTCATTAAGCACTTAATAGGTCCCATTCAAACTATGCCAGCTATTGTATATAAATCAGATGTTACTTATTGCTTTCTTACCGTGTGCGATATCATTATTTTCGATCTTCACGAGGCTCATAGAGGTTAAGTAAATTGTCAAAATTATTTAGCTAGTAAAGAAACAAAATATGATCCAGGGTTTCTGGACCTAAAATCCATTCTTCTTCCTCCATACTTATTCCTTCTCAAACAGACAAACAAAAAGCCAACAATTGTCAGCATGTGAGACTATATTTTAAAGAGAGAAGTAAAGATACATAGTTTCTGTTTCTAAAGCATATTCTCTGACTTCATATCATCTCTCATAAATGAACTAACACTGTCTTATTAATTCTTTGGAAAGTTGTTTGCTATTCATTTTTGAAAAACAATACAGGATCATTAAAGATATACCAGACAGAAATATACCCTTTAGGAGGAAGCAGTACTATCAGCCAGAGAATGGTATATCAAGATATTTCTTGACATTACCTGTGAAAACCAGCTGGAGCACATGCCAAGGTTGCAGGCTCGATCCCCCATAGGAGGTGTGCGGGAGGAAGCTGATCAATGTTCTGCTCTCACGTAGATGTTTCTCTCTCTCTCTCTCCTTTCCTTTCTACAAAAAACAAAAACAAAAACAAAAACCCACATAATAAAATCAATTTTAAAAAGATACATGTGTTATACAAATCAGAGGAGATGTGGAAATTTTTTTGAAAAGCAAATTTTTAGTGCCACCTTAATAGCTACAATAGTAAAAATGCATAACTTCAACTGGTGTGAAAAATCAGATTTTTCTCCTAAACTGCTATGGTTATGTGTGTGTGTGTGTGTGGTGGGGTAGCGGGTGCCCAAACACACAAACATGCTATGCCAAAGTACCATTCACTCTTGTAATTAACCAATTCCTTGCTTCAGCGAGAGTACATAGCTGCTTTAGGAAAAGCTGCTAGACGATGGCCTTACCCTGTTAGACTCAGATAACTGTGTGGATGAGATTTGACTCACAAATTAGCTTTATCATATGGTTTCAGATTCTATTTTTAAAAATGGTGATTCAGGTTTAGCTATGAATATTTTACTTAGGACTTTGGGAAGAAATAAGAAAAACCCAAACAAACTGAGGGTAAACTGCATGCATATTTAAAACGCAATAAACATAGTCACGATAATAAATAATAACACTATAAAGAAGCAAGTGTAATTACTAATGTAATCACCAACTTTTTATTACTAAGAAAGTTAAAAATAATTTTTTGGCCAAAAGATACCATGTATCCCTTGGGTCCTAATCTTAATATTCATTCTTGCTCTGCCGTCTCTCTAGGCTCCGCCATTCACACTTAGCAGGGTGTTAAATCATTACAATAAAGTTTTCAGATTTCAGGAGCTCCTCAGGCCCTCTTTATGTCCTAAAGCTTGCTAATATTTGTTGCTGCTCTGTGTGATGTTGTCATGTATTCTTTTTCTCTATCTTTACATTTAAAAATGTATGCTTTGTATTATTCTACTGAAAAAACAATAGAGTCAGAAAAGCCATGTCTCTTCTTTCATCAGTTGCATTTGGGCCCCCGCACCAGGCTTTCCTGAGTCCATCCTCCTCTTGCATGCCTTCCTGGTCAGTGCTAATCTGCACTTATTCCCTTCTCTGCCTTTCTCATTACCTTTGCATAACTACACATTCTCATCCAGCACTTGATCCTAAGCTCAGGTCCAATGCCTCCCAGTATTATGGGTAGGGGTGATATACTTGAAATATGCAGTAATGTAAAGACTCAGACTCCAACCCATCAGTTGGCAGTAACATTTGGAATGACTACACCAATGTGCTCTGCCTGAATATCACCCCCAAAGAGAACGTGGGGTGCACAGTCACTAATTTGGGTGTCCCTTGGGCATATTTCTAGTTCTCTAAGAAAAGGTCACAGTTTCCCAAGGATCTACGTCTTTGTCCATGTTACCATTGCTTCCTAATCTTGCTGCCAAAATCAACTATGGTATATTAATCTTAGTGGCTTCAACAACAGAAATTTATTTCTTATAGTTCTGGAAGTTGGAAGTCTGAGAACAGGGAGGCAGCCTGGTCGGGTTCTGGTGGGGGCTCTCTGGCTTATGGAGAGTCTCCTTGCTTCGTGCTCACATGACCATTCCTCTGTGTGTGCTCTTGGAGAAAGAGAACTCTCTTCCCCTTCTCATAAAGCCACTATTGCATTAGTACTCAGCCTTTATGATCTCATTTAACCTAATCACATCCTAAAAGCCTTATCTCCAAATATAATCCCATTGTGGGGTAGGGTTTTAATACATGAGTTTGGAGGAAAAACTATCCAGTTCATAGCATATGGTAATAGTTAAGACTCAGTTGCAAGTAGCAGAAACCAACTCTATTATACTGCCTTTTTGAACCAAAAAGTATAGTGCTTAACTCAGAAACTTAAACACTGTATCAGGGCTCTCTCTCTCTCTCTGTCTGTCTGTGTGTGTGTGTCTCTGTCTCTCTGTCTCTCTGTCTCTCTCTCAATTCTGCTTCCAAATGCTGTTTGCATTCTTAGGCTCTTTACAAGATAGTAGTAGTAGGATGGTGACTGGATATATCTAGCTCATACAGTACTTTCAACTGCACACCCAAAGAAAGAGAATATTTTTCTTAATAGCTCTGGCAAAAAGTTTCAGAGAGAACTCGGGCCCAGTTTTAGTCATCTCTCATATAATCTCTGTGGCCGGAAGGAGGAAGAACTAACTGGCCGGCCTGGTCACCCTGGACTACTCTGGAACTGAGGGAGTGAAATTTGTTGAATCAGCACAAGAAAGGTGATACAGGAAAGAGTCGGGCAGGGAAAACTCACCAGAAGATCAGCATCACAGGCCTGATTTTCTAGAACAGGCTGGCTTTTTAACATCTCAAATGTCTGTTTTTATATATTGGTGTCAGTGCTCCCTGAAGAATCTGCTCAAATATGAATAATTCCCCTGAGCCCAGATTTCTGCATATGTGGAGGAGTATTTACATTTGTCCTATTTTATCCTATCCAAAATTTTGTTTGAAAAGGACACATTCACAGTCCAAGTGCTACTGGAAAAATGATCCCCCATAGCAATAAAAGCCCCCTTTTTTTAGAATCCTTTTCTATTTTCCCAAATGTGCAAATCAGAATTACAATGGTTGTTTTTTAAATTTACAATTCATATTATTGCACTAAAGTATTTTCAAGTAAATTTAACATTTTAATGTTTACATATCATTAAGTGTATCCTAATTGCACATTTTTAACATTTAAAGTGCATGCTTAAAAACTGATATTGTTACTTCTATAATGTGATTTTTCATGAAAACTCTTTTTTTTCCCCCCTCTTTCTTTGTCTCTTTAATTGTATTTAGCTTACACCTCCCTTATACAACGTTAGTGAGATGAATGTTCCAACAGCAATGTGGAGTGGTGGACACGACCGTGTGGCTGATCCCAGGGACATTGAAAATTTACTCCCTAACATTACCAGACTTATTTATTACAAATTTATTCCACACTACAATCATGTGGATTTTTACCTGGGACAGGATGCACCCCAGGAAATTTACCAAGACCTAATTAGAATGATGGAGGAATATTTCTAAAATTAAATACACTTACCTTTTCCTAAGCAAGCAAGTTTTCATGATAACAATGTGGCACACAGACCTGAAGGTGACCCCTCCAGTGATTTTTACCTCCTCAGGTCCATGCATTTGTGTAGTTCCCACTGCTTTAGCTAGGGAGGGACCTGAGACTTACTTTTAGAATTGGCAAAGGTGAAGGGATGGCACACCCTTGATGAGATTATGTTTGTGGCATAATCCCTGATTACTTTATATTATATACGAAACCATCTTAGCAGACTGGAGCAAGAGATTCTGCTTGTTGTCTTAATGAAGCAAACTGATATGCTCAGGAAACCCACATAGGAAGGAACTGTCTGGCTTCTAGGATCTGCAGTTGGCCGCCAGCCAATATCCTGCCAAGAGTCAGGACTCTCAGTCATACAGCTACAAGGAAATGAATTCTGCCTAAAACCCCAATGAGCTCGGAAGCCCACTCTTTCCCAGGAAAGCCTCCAGTTGAGAAAGCACCCTGGCCCACACTCGGATGACAGCCACAGCCTGGTGAGACCTTGAGCGAGGACCTAGCTATGCCATGCCCTGAGTATTAACCCAGAAACAGTGAGGTAATAAATATATATTGTTCTAACCTGCTCAGTGTGTGGTAATTTGTTGTCAGCAATAGTAAACTACTACTCCTCTTAATGGTAATAAATTATTGTTATTATTATTCTTTTGACTTATTTCCTTTGGCTCTAGGAACTTTCTTTGAACATTGCTTGTTTTGCAGATCTGCTAGTGATCAATTCTCTCAGTATTTGTCTGAAAAAGTCTTTATTTTGCCTTTATTTCTATGTTTTTTGTTGTTGTGGTTAGGACATTTAACATGAGATAGACCTTCTTAATGGAAAGCGTATACTACAGTATTGTTATCTATAGGTACTGTGTTGTACGGGAGATCACTAGAACTGTTTCTTCTTGCGTAACTGAAACTTTACTCCTGTTGAACAACTCTTATTTTCCCCCTCCCCCAGCCCCTGGCAGTCACCCTTCTACTCTTTGCATCTACAATTTGACTATTTTATATGCTTCATATACACGGAATTATGCTGTATTTGTCCCCTGTAACTAATTTATTTTACTTAGTATAATATCCTTTAGTTTCATCTATGTTGTTGCATATAGCAGGATGTCATTTTTTAAAGCTGAATACTATTCCTTTATATGTATATGCCACACTTTTCTTATCTATTTGTTCATCAATGAACATTTAGGTTGCTTTCATACCTTGGCTATTGTGAACAATGTTGGGATGAACAGGGAGCACATATATCTTTTCAAGGTCTTGCTTTCAGTTCTTTTGGATATATGCACGAAATGGATTTGCTGGATCACATGGTAGTTCTATTTTTAATTTTTTGAGAAATAGCTATACTGTTTTTCATAGCAACTACATCATTTTGTATCCCCACCAACAGTGTATAAAGGTTCCAATTTTTCTACATCCTCAACATCATTTCTTGTCTTTTGTTTTTTTAATAATGGCCACCCTAATAGGTGTGAGATCATATCTTATTGTGACTTTGCTTTGCATTTTCCTGATGATTAGTAATGATTGAAAGAAGACACCACCTGTGAAACTTTTCTCTGGGTGGGGCAGGGGGTGGGGTGGAGAAGAGGAGAATGTGGACATACTTAGAAAAGGTTTTCGAGGCTCCCAGAATTTCTGGCTGGGTTGATTGGCGAATTATTATTATTTTGCCTTCATTTCTGAAAGGTATTTTTTCTGACAGTAGACTTTTAGGTTGATCTGCTTCATAATCTGTTGCTATTCTTTCAGTGCTTTGAAATGTTTATTGACTTTTGGGATGTGTAGTTTCTGATAAGTATGTAATATCATATCTGTTTCTTTGAACTTAATGTACCCCTTTTCTTTGTTTTTAAATATTCTTGTTGTCAATAATTTTCAGCAATTTGATTTGGATGAACCTTGTTGTGATTTTATGTGTATTTTACTTGGAACTCTTCAGGCTTCTTGGATCTGTGCATATATAGTTTCCATCAAATCTGGAAAAATTTTGTCCATGATTTCTTCAAATACCTCCCTGATATTTGAAGATATCTTTAAATATTCTTTCTGAGTCTCATTACATATATGTTAGACCACTTACAATTGCAATGGTCCCATAATTCACTGAAGCTGTGTCCCCCTCCACCCCACCTAGTGTTTTTCTCTGTGTGCTTTATTTGAAATAGTTTCTGTTCCTATGGCTTCACATTCACAAATCTTTTCTTTTGCACTGTCTAATCTGCTGTAACTATATCTGGTGCATTTTTAAAATGTTAGATACTGTATATTTCATCTTTAGAAATTCCATTAGGTCTTTTTTATGTCTTCTGTATCTTTCTTTCTTACTTTTATGTTTTTCTTTAAATCTTCTTAACATCATAAACATATTTTAATATCTGTTTTAACTTTCTGCTTATTTAATTATCTTTATCATTTGTGAGTTTGTTCTATAGATTGGCTTTCTTCTGATTAAGGATTATATTCTTCTGCTTCAATTTCATACTTATAAATTTTTATTGGATGCCAGACTTTGAATTTGGCATTGCTGAGTGCTAAATTTTATATTATTCCTTTAAAGAGGGTTGGAGATTTTTTGGCAATCAGTTAATTTACTTACAGCTAAGTTTGATTGTTTTGAGACTTTTCTATCTCCCAAGGGTGGGTCTAGAGCAGTGGTTCTCAACCTTCCTAATGCCGAGACCCTTTATTACAGTTCCTCATGTTGTATGTGGGCATATTTGCATGTGGGTGGACCCGCCTAGAGATGGATAGAGGAGCCATGTCTCAGTTCCTAAGACCATCGGAAATATGTGTTTTCAGAGGGTCTTAGGTGACCCCTGTGAAAGGGTCATTCAACCCCCAAAGGTGTTGTGACCCACAGGTTGAGAAACGCTGGTATAGAGTAATCTCTCCTCTACAGAAGTTAAGCCCTACGACTGAGGCATGCACTTTCTCTGAGGTCTCTATTGAATTCCCAAGTGTTCAGAAAGGTCTCTTCATACTGATTGGTGGAAACTCTAATTAGTCCTTATGTATATTCTAGAAATTGTTTCATTTACAGGTTCTTGGCAATTAATTTCCTCTGAAAGTTTTACTTTGTTCACTCTTGTGGAATTTTACCCTTTTCATCAACAAATTATTAGTCAAAGGCTCAGAGGAATGCAGCTTCACATTTCAGGAGCTCTTTCTCTTGATTACTCCTTTTTCTTTGTGATTCTAGCCCATAAATTATATTGTCCTTATTCTCCCTGAATTCCAGTCTCCTTAAGCCAGCTAGACCGTTGAGCTTTCTTTGGGTTCCCCTACCTTTGCTGCAATGTAGGAATTGCTGGTAGCCAGAAAAGTATTTGATAGGGCTCACCTTACTTGTTTTCATTCTCTAGTGATCACAGAGGATTGCTGGCTGCTTGCCAATGTCTGGCAACTGTTGTTTATTACTTTTGTTCCAATTTTTTAATTTTTATGGTAGGATGATAACTCTAGACCCTATTATTCTCTCATGTCTAGAAGAAAATGTCAATATTCTTTAAAAAAAAAATTATATAATTCTGCTAATGTGTAACCAGTATAACTTTACATAAATAAGGTAATTATTTTTAAAAATAAAATAAAAAGAATATATAACTTAAAAATTTTAAGTTTTCTCTGTTCCATCTAAAATTGTGTATCTTACTTTCAGCATGTTGCAGGAAACTGTGATGGAATCCAACCCTCTGAATTTAGATATAAGTAAGCACAGTCTTAGAGAAATAATTTGCCCAAGGTATATAAGTATATAAGTTAGTAAGATAATATTAGAACTATAATTTCAGAATGCTGATCAAATGTGGCATTTCTAGGACATTAATTTTTCTCTGCAAAAGCTTTACTGCTTTCTCCCAAATATCTTTAATTTCCACTGATCCATCTTCCCTATAACTTTTTTAAAAAATAATTTAAAAAATGTTTTAATTACAGTTGACATACAATATTGTATTAGTTTCAGGTGTACACCCCAATGATTAGACATTATAAAACTTATTAAGTGATCATCCCCAAAAATCTCATACCTATCTGGCACCATACATAGTTATTAGAGTATTATTGACTATATTCCCTATGCTGTACTGTACACCCCCATGACTATACTATAACTACTAATTTGTACTTTTAAATCCCTTCACCTTTTTCACTCATCCTCTCAACTCCCCTCCCATCTGGCAACCATCAAAATGTTCTCTGTATCTATGAGTCTGTTTCTGTTCTGTTTGTTTATTTTGATTTTTAGATTTAATTATTGATAGATATGTATTTATTAAGCCCAGAGAGTCCCAAACAAGATGAATCCAAAGAGGCTCACATCAAAATACATCATAATTAATATGCCAAAGGTTAAAGACAAAGAGAGAATCTTATAAAAGCAGAAAGAGAAAAGTAGTTAGTTACCTACAAGGGAGCACCCATAAGACTTTCAGCTGATTTCTCAGCAGAAACTTTGCAGGACAGAAGAAAGTGGCAAGAAATATTCAAAGTGATGAAAAACAAAGACCTACAACCAAGATTACTCTACGCAGCAGAGCTATCATTTAGAACTGAGGGTTAGATAAAGGTCTTCCCAGACAAGAAAAAGGTAAAAGAGTTCATCACCATCAAACCATTAATTCATGGAATGTTAAAGGGTCTTTTTGAAGAAGAAGAAGAAGAAGAAGAAGAAGAAGAAGAAGAAGAAGAAGAAGAAGAAGAAGAAGAAGAAACAAAAAAGGTCAAAAATCCCTATTACTCTTTTAAATGGTATTTTCACCATGAAATTCCACTATACCAGAATTTACAATAACTTTCTGCTTTTTATTTTATTCCATCAAATTCTAACTCCCCTGTCTTTCAAAGTTTCCCATAATCTGACTTCACTGCTCTGCCAATTACATTTTGCCTCTGCTTCCTTTACCAGATGCACATCTTTTATTCAAAAAAGATTTGTATACTTAAGTCT